GAAAAAGGGATAGAAAGTGTCTTTGAGGAGGTAATTGCTGAAAACTTCCCCAATTTGGGGAAAGGGATATTCTCTCAGGCCATGGAGGTGCACAGATCTCCCAACACAAGGGACCCAAGGAAGACAACACCAAAACATATAATAATTAAAATGGCAAAGATCAAGGATAAGGACAGACTATTAAAAGCAGCCAGAGAGAGAAAAAAGATCACATACAAAGGAAAACCCATCAGGCTATCATGAGACTTCTCAGCAGAAACCCTAAAGGCCAGAAGGAAGTGGCATGATATATTTATTACAATGAAGCCAGAAGGGCCTGGAACCAAGAATACTCTATCTGGCAAGATTATCATTTAAATTTGAAGGAGGGATAAAATTTCCAGATAAGCAAAAGCTGAGAGAATTTACCTCCCACAAATTGTCTCAACAGCATATTTTGGAGTGACTGCTATAGAAGGAAGTGTTCCTAAGAATAAACAGCTGTCACCAGAGGTAATAAAATGACAGAAAAGAAAGTAGAACAATTAATTACAAAGCAAATGCAAAATTAAATCAACTACCCCAAAGTCAGTTAAGGCACAGACAAAGAGTACAGAATTAGATACCTAAAATATAAAGACTGGAGAAAGAAGAAAACAGAGGAGTAAAAAAAAAAAAGAATGTTTAGATTGTATTTTGTAACAGCATACTAAATGAGTTAAGTTAGACCCTAAGACAGTAAGGAAGTTAAACTGGAACCTTTGGTAAACACAAATCTAAAGCCCACAATGAAAATAAGTACATACCTATCGATAATCAACATAAATGTAAATGGTCTGAATGCACCAATTGAAAGACATAGAGTCACTGAATGGATAAAAAAACAAGACTCATCTATATGCTGCCTACAAGAGACTCACTTCAAACCCAAAGACATACACGGATTAAAAGTGAAGGGATGGAAAAAGATATTTCATGAAACTAATACGGAGAAAAAAGCAGGAGTTCTGGTACTCGTATCAGACAAAATAGCCTTCAAAACAAAGAAAGTCACAAGAGACAGAGAAGGATATTACATAATGATAAAGGGGTCAATCCAACAAGAAGATATCACCATTACAAATATCTACGCACTCAGCACAGGAGCACCTACTTATGTGAAACAAATACTAACAGAATTAAAAGGGAAAATAGGATGCAATGCATTCATTCTAGGAGACTTCAACACTTCACTCACTCCAAAGGACAGATCAACCAGATAGAAAATAAGTAAGGACACAGAGGCACTGAAAAACACATTAGAACAGATGGACCTAACAGACATCTACAGAACACTCCATCCAACAGAAACAGAATGCACATTCTTCTCAAGCACACATCGAACATTTTTCAAGAACAGACCATACACTAGGCTACAAAGAGAGCCTCAGTAAATTCAAAAAGACTGAAATTGTACCGACCAGCTTCTCAGATCACAAAGGAATGAAGCTAGAAATGAATTATGCTAAGAAAACAAATAAGCCCATGAAATATGGAGGCTGTACAACATGTTCCTAAATAGCCAATGGATCAATGACCAAATTAAAATGGATATCAAGCAATATATGGAGATAAATAACAACAATAATTCAACACTGCAAAATCTGTGGGACATGGCAAAGGTGATGCTAAGAGGGAAGTATATTGTAATACAGGCCTACCTTAGGAAAGAAGAACAATTCCATATGAACAATCTAAACTCACAATTAATGAAAGTAGAAAAAGAAGAATAAATGAGACCCAAAGTCAGTAGAAGGAGGTAGTTAATAAAGATTGGAGCATAAATAAAGAAAATCAAGAAGAATAAAACAATAGAAAGAATCAATGAAAGCAGGAGCTGTTTCTCTGAGAAAAATAAACAAAATAGATAAATCCCTAGCCAGACTTATCAAGGAAAAAGGGAGTCTACATACATAAAAGAATCAGAAATGAGAAAGGAAAAATCACTATGGACACCACAGAAATACAAAGAATTATGAGAGAATACTATGAAAAATCATATGCTAACAAACTGGATAACCTAGAAGAAATGGACAACTTTCTAGAAAAATACAACCTTCCAAGGTTATCCCAGAAAGAAACAGAAAATCTGAACAGACCAAGCACCAGCAACTAAATTGAACTGGTAATCAAAAAATTGCTTAAGAACAAAACCCTTGAACCAGATGGTTTCACTACTGAATTTTATCAAACATTTAGTTAAGACCTAATACCCGCCCTGCTTAAAACATTCCAAAAAGTAGAAGAGGAAGGAATGCTCCCAAACTCATTCTAAGAGGCCAGCATCACTCTAATACCCAAACCAGGCAAAGACACCACAAAAAAAGAAAATTATAGATCAATATCCCTAATGAACAGAGATCCAAAAATACTCAACAAGGTATTAGCAAACCGAATTCAAAAATACATCAAAAGGATCATCCATCATGATCAAGTAAGATTTATTCCAGGGATGCAAGGACAGTGCACCATTCAAAAATCCATCAACATCATCATCCACATCAACAAAAAGGAGGACAAAAAACATAATCATCTCCATAGATGCTGAAAAAGCATTGGACAAAATTCAACATCTATTCATGATAAAAACTCTCAACAAAATGGGTATAGAGGGCAAGTACCTTAAAATAAAAACGGCCATATATGATAAACCCAAGGCCAACATCAAACTTAACAGCGAGAAGCTGAAAGCTTTTCCTTTAAGACGGGGAACAAGACAAGGATGCCCACTCTCCCCACTTTTATTCAACATAGTTCTGGAGGTCCTAGCAATGGCAATCAGAAAACACAAAGAAATAAAAAGCATCCAGATTGGCAAGGAAGAAGTGAAACTCCCTGTTTGCAGATGACATGATACTGTACATAAAATACCCTAAAGAACCCACTCCAAAACTACTATATCTAAAGTAAGAATTCAGCAATGTTGCAGGATACAAAATTAATACACAGAAATCTGTTGCATTCCTATACACTAATGATAAACTAGCAGAAAGAGAAATCAGGAAAATAATTCCATTCACAATTGCATCAAAAAGAATAAAATACATAGGAATAAACCTAACCAAGGAAGTAAAAGACCTATACTCTAAAAACTACAAGATACTCATGAGCAAAATTAAACTAGATACCAATAAATGGAAACACATCCCATGCTCATGCATAGGAAGGATTAATATTGTCAAAATGGCCATCCTGCCTAAAGCAATCTACAGATTCAATGCAATTCCTATTAAAATAACAAGAGCAATCTTCAACGAACTAGAAAAAATAGTTCTAAAATTCATATGGAACCATAAAAGACCTCCAAATAGCCAAAGCAATCCTGAGAAGGAAGAATAAAGCAGGCAGAATCATGCTCCCTGACTTCAAGCTCTACTACAAAGCCACAGTAATCAAGACAATTTGGTACTGGCACAAGAACAGACCCATAGACTAATGGAATGGTCTACAGAATCCAGATATAAACCAAAGCATATAAGGTCAATTAATATATGATAAAGGAGCTATGGATATACAGTGGGGAAGACAGCTTCTTCAACAGCTGATGTTGGCAAACTGGACAGCAACATGCAAGAAAATGAAACATGATTATTGTCTAACCCCATACACAAAAGTAAATTCAAAATGGATCAAAGACATGATGGTAAGTCATAAAACCATAAAACTCTTAGAAGAAAACATAGGCAAAAATATCTTGAATAGAAACATGAGCAACTTTTTCCTTGAACACATCTCCTCGGGCAAGGGAAACAAAATAAAAAATGAATAAATGGGATTACATCATGCTGAAAAGCTTCTGTACAGCAAAGAACACCATCAGCAGAACAAAAGATATCCTACAGTATCAAAGAATATATTTGTAAATGACATATTTGACAAGGGGTTAACATCTAAAATATATAAAGAACTCACACATCTCAACACCCAAAAAGCAAATAACCATATTAAAAAATGGGCAGAGGATGTAAACAGACACTTTCCAAAGAAGAAATTCCAATGGCCAAAATGCACATGAAAGGATACTCCACATCACTAATTATCAGGGAAATGCAAATTAAAATCACAATGAAATATCACGTCACACCAGTTAGGATGGCCAACATCAAAAAGACAAACAACAACAAATGTTGGCGATGATGAGGAGAAAGGGGAACCCTCCCACACTGCTGGTGGGAATGTAAATTAGTTCAACCACTGTGGAAAGCAGTATGGAGGTTCCTCAAAAAATTGAATAGAAATAAGAATAGTTAAATAATTAAATAGAAATACCATTTGACCCAGGAATTCCTCTCCTAGGAATTTACCCTAAGACTGCCGGAGCCCAGTCAGAAAAAGACATATGCACCCCTATGTTTATTGCAGCACTATTTATAATAGTCAAGAAATGGAAGCAACCTAAGTGTCCATCAGTAGATGAACGGATAAAAAAGATGTAAGAAAATGTGGTACATATACACAATGGAATATTATTCAGCCATGAGAAGAAAACAAATCCTACCATTTGCAACAATATGGATGGAGCTAGAGGGTATTATGCTCAGTGAAATAAGCCATGCAGGGACAGACAAGTACAAAATGATTTCACTCATCTGTGGAGCATAAGAACAAAGCAAAAACTGAAGGAACTGAAGAGCAGTAGATTCACAGAACCCAAGAATGGACTAACAGTTGCCAAAGGGAAAGGGATTGGGGAGGATCAGTGAGAAGGGAGGTTTAAGGGGAATAAGGGGCATTACAATTAGCACACATAACATAGGGGGCGGGGCATAGGGAAGGCAGTACAGTGCACAGAAGACCAGTAGTGACTATATAGCATCTTACTTTGCTGATGGACAGTGACTGTAATGGGGTATGTGGTGGGGACTTGAGAATGGGGGGATTCTAGTAACCACAATGTTGCTCATGTGTTTGTATATTAATGATACCAAAAGAAAAAAAAACATGTACAACTCAGAATAGATGAAAGACATCTTCTTACTTACCTGTGGAATATAATTTCTTCTTTCCTGACATGCAGCATGAAACCAAGCAAAACTGAAGAGAGCATGAGCTCGATGTACATTATCTTTTTTGCTAATTTGCTCAGGAGTCCAAGATTCATAAGTACGCATTAAATTCTTCTTCAAACCTGGAGGTGACTAAAGAAATAAAAATTAACAGACTTCATATTGTTTAAAATCTAACAAATAAAATAATCAATTTAACATGCATGAGAACATATTTTAATGAAAATTTTCACCATTACCAAGGTTGATTTACATTATTTTATGTAACTTCAGAGTGTATAGATATTAAAACTAGTTTTAAACTTATACCTAACTGTTCATATCAATTATAAATCCAGTAGTTAAATAATTATTTTTTAAATGACTACATTTTTGAAAATTACATTGAAAATTATTAGCTTTTCAAATTAAAAAAATTCTGTATAACCAACAATACTAAAAATAACCAAAAGACTTTTATTTGATCCTTCAGGTATTTTACTAAAACTAAATCATCACTTGTAATACGAATGTTATAGTCATTGTTATGGGCAGGTGTTTTTACTTGAATATGCCATTACTCCCTCTTTAGGTGCTCTTTAAATTTTCATGAGACCTTCAACATACTATTTACATTTAGTGTTATCCATTCATCCTTGCACATTAGTCCATAACAATTAAAATGGGTATTACTTCTAGGCCCATAAACACAAATTCAAACCCAGGAACTGAAATTGTATGTTGAACTAATACTCATTCAAAAAACACTTGCTGTAAGGGGCATTATGATTAGCACACATAGCGTGGGGTGAGGGTCATGGGGAAGGCAGTATAGCACAGAGAAGACAAGTAGTGACTCTATAGCATCTTACTACGCTGATGGACAGTGACTATAATGGGGTATGTGGTGGGAAATTGATAATGGGGGGAATCTAGCAACCACAATGTTGCTCATGTGATTGTATATTAATGATCCCAAAATCAAAAAAAAAGGAAAAGGAAAAGGAAAAAAAAAAACAACAGTTGCTGACATGTCCAGAATCTATTACATTTTTAAATCACCAAAGTGAAGAAACACTTTGAATTCTTAGAAAAAAAGCAGAATAAACCCATTTCCAAAAACAATTTTTTCTAGTATTAAAAGAAATTAATGTGAATTATCTAATTTATTTTAGCTTGTTTTAAAAGCAAAAATTTTTCTCAAAAATGGTTTCTAACATAAAAATAATAAATAATATAAGGCAGTATTTTAAGAATGTTTGCTAAAAAGAATCTTTGCAATCCTTGTCTTTTTTTTCTCAAATACTTTTTGTATAAATGGAAAAAAAAACATTGATTTACTAAGAACATATCCAAGTTTATACTTTTTAAATGAAAATATTTTATGATTATGAAACATCTACAAAATATTATCACAGGATAGACCAAATTTTCAAGTACTGTTCAATAAAATATAACATTAATAGGAAAATTAACAACTACTTAGGAGTTTTTTTAAAAATGCCCTATATTAAAGATTATGCAAAATGAATAACTCACTGGGGGCTGCAGGAAAAAGATGGCAGAGTAGGAAAACAAGTCCAAAACCTCCTCTCAAAAACACATAAAAGAACAAAACACAGCAAATAAATCTAAACCTGAAAATGACCTGAGGACTGCAGAACAAACCACCTACACCTGGGGAAGATGAGAAGCCCACCTGGAAAAGAGTGAAGTGGCAGAGCCACAGTTGAGTGGGGCCCAAGACCTCCCCACCACCCAGCCCACAGAGGGGATGAAGAGCAACAGAGCGGGGAGGGGAAAGGAGCTCAGGAGCCCTGGAGACCTGTTCCAGGAGCACAAGTCCACATTACATTGGATTCTGGTGATTAGTGGGGCTGTATACCAGGGACAGCTCAAACATTCTGGGATGCTGAGACTGCAGCCACTTGTGGAGGAGAGGCATGCTAGGCCAGTCCTGAGACCCAAAGCAGAGGCGGCAGTTTGAAAGACTTGCCAGCAGTGGAAGAGATGCCAGAGGGGTGAAGGTTGGATGGAGCTCTCTCTTCATGAGAAAGGGCAGGTGGAGGATACCTCCCCAGCCCTCCCTTGGCCCTCCTCTTGGGAGCCCCAGAAACTCCATCCCCTCACTGGCAACTCAGCCCCAAGTCAGGTCCCTGCATGCACTGTTGGGGAGCCAACCCACTTGGCCCAGCAACAGTGTCAATCTTTGCTGCTTGGCAGGCAGAGGGAGACTCTTCCAGCTTCCTTGCCCCATTTCACCCCAACCAGGAAGTGCCTGCAGGAGCCAAACCCAAGAGCTCCTTCTTACCCACAAGTCCCACCACCACACAGCTGCACAATGGCCCCACCCACCCCATGAACACTGCAGCTCTACCATTGCTGCTGGGTAGGCAGAGGGCAGCCCACTCACAACGATCCCAGCAGAGGCTTCTGCTCAGAACACAAAAGTGGAGCCTGAGGCAAACTGCCTGCCCAAACTAAGACCACTATGGAAGACAGACAGAAAGGTAGCCCCGCGAACTGCCTGGAAGCATAGCAGATCCACCTAAACAAAGGAAGAAACACAGAAATCCTGACAAAATGAGGAAGCAGAGGAATATGTTCCAAACAAAACTACAGGATAAGACACCAGAAAGAGAACTAAATGAAATGGAGATCACCAATTTTCTTGATAAAGATTTCAAAGTAAAAGTCATAAACATGCTCACTGATTTACAAAAATGTATTCAAGATCTCAAGAAGGAGCTGAAAAAGAAATAGAAGAGCTGAAAAAGAGTCACTCAGCTGAAGAACACAGTAACCGAAATGAAATATCCAATGGAGGGATTTAAGAGTAGATTACTGCAAGTAGAGGAGACACTCAGTGAGATGGAAATCAGAGAACAGGAACACAACAAAACTGAGAAACAGAGGAAAAAAGGTGTCTACGAATGAAAGAATGAGAGAGCTGTGTGACGACTCCAAATGAAACAATATTCACATAGTAGGGGTACCAGAAGGAGAAGACAGAAACAAAGGGATAGAAAGTCTCTTTGTGGAAATAATTTGTTGAAAACTTCCCAAGTCTGGGGAAGGAAATAGACACTCAGGTCATGGAAGCACAGAGATCTCCTAACAGAAGGAACCTGAGGAAGACAACACCAAGACATATAATTAAAATGGCAAAGATCAAAGACAAGGACACAGTACTGAAAGCAGCCAGAGAGAGAAAAAAGATTGCTTATAAAGGAAAGCACATCAGGCTATCAGCAGCCTTCTCAGCAGAAACATTACAGGCCAGAAGTGAGTGACATGAAATATTTAATGTACTAGAACAAAAGGATCTCCAACCAAGAATCCTCTACCTGGCAAGATTATCATTTAAATTTGAAGCATGAGTTAAACAATTTCCAGATAAACAAAAGTTGAAGGAATTCACCACTACTAAGCCAGCCTTACGGGATATGTTAAAGGGATGGCTATATATGGATATGTTCCTAAGGCTAAATAGCTTTCACCAGTAAAAATTAACCCAAAATAAAGGTAGTAGACCAATTAACTACCAAGAAAGTACAAAATTAAAACAAAACAAGCAAAATCAACTATGGATAAAATCAGTCAAGGGATACACAAAAAGTGCAGATTATGACATCTAGTACATAAAGTGTGGAGGAGGAAGAAGAAGGAAAAAGTACCTTTAAATTGTGTTTGAAATAGAGTAATCATCAATTTAATATAGACTGTTATATAGTAAGGAAGCTATCCTTGAACCTTTGGTAACCACAAAACTAAAGCCTACCAAATATACACAAAAGATTAAAGAAGAAAAATCTAATCACAACTAAAGTAAGCCATCAATAAAAAGAAAAGAGTATAAGAGAGGAAGAAAGGAAGGGAGGGAAACTATTAAAACAAACAGAAAACAATAAAATGGAAAAAGTACATATCTATCAATTATCACCTTCAATGTATCAATCAAAAGACATAGAGTGGCAGAATAAAGAAACAAGACCCATCGACATGCTGCCTACAAGAAATACATTTCAGATTCAAAGACATACACAGACTAAAAGTGAAGGGATGGAAAAAATATTTCATGAAAATAATAGGGAGAAAAAGCAGAAGTAGCAGTACTAAATGGATTTCAAAACAAAAAAAGTAACAGGAGACAAAGATGGACATTACATAATGATAAAGGGGTCAGTCCAACAAGAGGATATAGCCATTATAAATATCTATGCACCCAACATAGGAGCACCTAAGTATTAACAGATACTACAAGAATTAAAGGGGGAAACAGATTGCAACACATTCATTTTAGGAGACTTTAACACACCACTCATATCAATAGACAGATTAACCATATAGAAAAAAAAAATAAGGAAACAGAGGCACTGAACAATACATTAGATCAGATGGACTTAACAGATATCTACAGAACATTCCACCCAAAAGCAGAGGATACACATTTTTCTCAAGTGTACATGCAACATTCTCCAGAATAAATCACATACTAGGCCACAGTAAGAGTTCAATAAATTCAAAAAGATTGAAATTATATCAAGCAGCTTCTCACACCACAATGGTATGAAACTAGAAATAAATTACACAAAGAACACAAAAAGACCTATAAATACATGGACGCTAAAAAAGTTTCTTTACAATTACAATTATTAAGATATACTGAAGATTTTCTATCAAATTATAAAACAGTAAAAAATAGATGGTTCCATTGCAAACTAGAACAAATAGTTCTAAAATTTATATGGAACCACAAAACACCCCAAAAAGTCAAAGCAATTCTGAGAAGGAAGAACAAAGCTGGGGGCACTAGGCTCCCTGACTTCAAGCTCTACTTAAAAAGCCACAGTAATCAAAACAATTTGGTATTGTCACAAGAACATATTCATAGATCAATGGCACAGAATAGAGAGCCCAGATATAAACTCACACATATATGGTCAATTAATATGTGATAAAGGAGTCATGAATATAAATTGGGGAAAAGACAGCCTCTTCTATAACTGGTGTTCAAAAACTGGACAACTACATGTAAGAGAATGAAACTGAATTACTGTCTAACTCCATATACAAAAGTAAACTCAAAATGGATCAAAGATCTGAATGTAACTCATGAAACCATAAAACTCTTACAATAAAATAGGCAGGAATCTCTTGAATATAGGTATGAGCAATTTTTTCCTGGACACATCTCCTCAGGCAAGGGGAACAAAATAAAAAATGAACAAGTGGGACTACATCAAACTGAAAATCTTCTGTACAGCAAAGGACACCATCAGCAGAACAAAAAGGCATCCTACAGTATGGGAGAATATATTCATAAATGACTCATCTAATAAGTGGTTAACATCCAAAATATATAAAGACTCATATGCCTCAAGTCCCAAAAAACAAATAACCTGATTAAAAATTTGGTGGAGAACTTAACATACATTTCTCCATAAAAGAAATTCAGATGGCCAACAGGCACATGAAAAGATAATCCACATTGTTAACCATCAGGGAAATGCAAACTAAAACCACAGTTGAGGTATCACCTCACACCAGTTAGAATGGCCACTATCTGAAAGACAAGAAAACAACAAATGTTGGCAATGGTGCAGAGAAAGGAGAAACCTCCTACACTGCTGGTGGGAATGTAAATTGTTGCAACTGCTGTGGAAAGCAATCTGGAGATTCCTCAAAATTAAAAATAGAAATACCATTCAATCCAGTAATTCCACTTCCAGGAATTTACTCAAAGAAAACAAAATCTCTGATTCAGAAAGATGTATGCACCCCTATGTTTATCGCCACACTATTTGCAATAGCCAAGATATGGAAGCAACCTAAATGTCCATTGATAGATGAATGGATAAAGATGTGCTACACATACACAATGGAATATTATTCAGTCATGAAAGAAAAAGAAAAGCCATTTGCAACAACATGGATGTATCTAGAGAGTATTATGCTCAGTGAAATAAGGCAGGTGGAGAAAGACAAATACCATATGGTTTCACTTATTTGTGGAATATAAAAACAAAGCAAAAGAGAACGAATAAAACAGCAGTAGACTCTACACACTGAGAACTGACTAGTGGTTACCAAAGGGGAGCTGTTGGGGCAGGTATGGCAGGAGTGTGAAGAGGATAAAGGGGCCAATAATTTGCAATCACATCATAAGTTGGTCACAGGGCTGGTAGTACAACATGAAGACTATAGTCAGTGATTCTGTAACATCTTTCTACATTGACAGATAGTAACTGCCTAGAAGGAGTGAGGATTTAAAAATATGGGTAACTGTTGAACCACTGTATTGTACATTTGAAACCAATGTAAGATTTGTATCAATGATATGTCAATTTTTAAAAAAACTTGAAAAGATCCACACCCTTTAACACGGTAGCACTTTCTGTAGAAATATTTTAAGAAAATAATCCTTCAAGAAAATCAGTTATCTGTATCAGGATGTTTACAGCAGTTATGTAACAAAATTTAGAAGTAATTAAAACAAAAAAAATGAAAAAATCATATACCATTACAAAGAAAATCATACACAAATATAGACTATTTGAAGAATAGCAAAATGAAAACACTAACATGTCAAATTATTAGATAAAGCCAAAGATATATTCAATGGCAAATTAAAGACTTAAAATAATTTCAATTTCAATATATGCAGGTAAATATAAATCAACTAAGCCACACAGAAATCATGAAGAACAAAAGCTAATACAAATCTGAGGAAAACATAAGGAAAAATAAATAAGGAATTTCAGGACACAGAAAAGAATTTTTTTAAAAGTAAATTAATAAGTCTGACATGTTCAAATAAATTTTTTAAAACAACCTTGGCAACTAATCAGAACAGAAAAAATAAACAATAAAATAGAAATTTAACTATTTTTAAAGATAATATATATATGTGTGTACATATATGTACCTTCAGTAATAATTTTTCACATAACAAACTGCATTATTTTGTAGATTAAAATCATCTACATTATTTAAGAAATAGGAAAACAAATTAACCAACTATTTAAATTAAACTCAAAATTTCCATAAAAATATATTCAAATTACCTCCTAACTCTAGATTTAGTGAAACATTTACTGTATTCTTCCTACATGACAGGTATCATAAGAGAAATATAAGAAAATGAGAAGAAAAATTGTCTTTTTTCATGGCTTATACAATTCAGTTCTAGATGGAGTTCAGTAGAAAAACTATACTGGGAGAGTGGCTAGAGAAGATTCTGAGAAGGTTTTTTTAATTAAACATTATAATAACATTCATTCAATTAACATATTTCCAAATATTATATCATGTTTGCATTCCTAAATTAGTCCTTACCCCTTTTCTTCTTTAAATGACACTAACACCTTCAGATGAAAACTAAGAATAGAAGTACCGGTCTAAAATAACAGGGAGCTAAACACTAATAAGATATTTTTCTTCAGAAACAAAGAATATATAAAACAAGTTTCTACAAATCAAGAGATAATACAAGAACCTCATTTATTATAAAGTGTTTAAAAATTTTAATGCAGTGTTATTATTTTATTTATGACTTTGACCACTTACATAATATCATTATAACACATATGGTTTTGGATATATCAAGTATGGGGAGGATCTGCCAAGCATAGTATGTTAGAAGGATAGACAGATGGACAGATAAAAAGGAAGGACGAGAGGAAACAAACACTGAAAATCTAACTTAGCTATGTCAAAAAACAAGTAATATGAAAACTGATAACCATGTACCAAAAAAATGAACTTGGACCCTTATCTAACACCATATGTAAACATTAATTCATAATGGATTGAAGACCTAAACGTAAGACCTGAAACTATAAAACTCCTAGAAAAAAGCATGGAAAAGCTTTGGTACATTGGATTTGGCAATGATGTTTTGAATATGATATCAAAAACACAGACACAAAAGAGACAAATGGAAGTACATCAAACTTTTTAAAAACATCTTTCAAAAATATCAAAGAAAACAACCAACACAGTGGTAAGACAACCCTATGGACTGGGAGAAAAAATCTGTAAACTATATATCTGAAAAGAAACTCCTACAACTCAATAACAGAATATATAAAAAACTACTACAAACTCAACAACAAAAAATTAATCCAATTAAAAAATGGGTAAAGAATTCGAATGGACATTTCTCCAAAGCAGATATACAAATGGCCAAACAAGCATATGAATAGATGTTCAACATAACTACCAAGGAAATGCAAATCCAAACTGCAGTGATACATCACTGCACATCAATAGGATGGCCACTATTAAAGAAAACAAAACAGAAAATAAGAAGTGTTGGCAAGGAAGCAGAGAAATTGTGTGTGGTTGGTGGGAATATAAAGTAGCATACTTCAACAGAAAACAGTATGGAGAATTCTCAAACACTTAAAAATAGAATTAACACATAATCCAGCAATTCCATCTTTAGGTATATATCCAAAAAAAAATGAAAATAGTATCTCAAAGAGATATTTGTCCACCCATGTTCATTACAGCATTATTCACAATAGTCAAAGGTAGAAAACCTCAATGTCCATGGGCAGATGAATGTATAAAGAAAACATAGTATATACATACAATGGGATATTATTCAACCTTCAAAAAAGAAGGCAATCCTGTCATATACTACAACGTGGATGAACCTTGAGAATCTTATGCCAAGTAAAATATAAGCCAGTCACAAAAACACAATACTACACGATTCTACTTATATAAGATATCTAAAATAGTCACACTCATAGAAACAGAAAGTAGTATAGTGATTTAGTGATTGCCAGGTGTGGAAGGAGAAGGAAATGGGTAGCTGCTATTCAATAGATACAGTCTGTTTTACAAGATGAAAAAGTTCTAAAGACCTGTTACACAACAAGATAGGCATAATTAACACAGTGGTACTATATATCTAAGAATGGTTACAATGGTAAATTGCATGTTACGTGTCTTTTACTGATAAACACAATGAAACATCAAATTTATGAAATAAATTTGAAAGGAAAGTTTAAATGTATTTTTATAAATATTGTATGCTATTATTTATGCATATTTTATTTCACCTAAATGTAAAGGGAAGTTTCTGTGTGTTTCATATAATAGATGGTTGTTTACAGAGCTTTAGAAGGATGTAGAGATTACTGCAATTATACAACTAGTGAATTGAATTTTAAAACTTACCTCATATGTTATCTTCAAACTTGACTGTAATAAAATAGGAGTAAAGTTGGGATGAACTTCTGCGGTCAGCCAAAGACGAAAGGTATCTTTAGGTTGAAGAGTATTCAATTCCTTGTTTATGAAAACAACAATACAAATCTACTTAAATATACACACAAATGTCCATTTTATAATTATTAATGAGTAATTTTTCATACTCAAATCTTTCTATGACATTCTGATATTTCTAAATGTTCTGATTATATTTCCTTTACATTTTCATCTTCCCTGTAAGTAGCTTAGTGTAATAGATAAGAACTTAGATTTGGAACTAGGCCAATTGCGTTGAGAACCAAATTCTACTACTCATTTGCTATGTGACTTTGGGTACTATAATAATAGTACCTACCTCATAGGATTGTGTAAAACATTTAAAACAGCACCTGGCATACAGTAAGTACAAAATAAATGTTAGCTGTAATTGCTATGCTCAACTACCAGCCATCTTCAGGCCTTCAGATTTTCATTGCTTCAACACATACTTCCACAAGAGTTACATAATGATATCAAGTCCTTCATTGACAATTTTAGTGTATCCTATTGCCTATACAAATTTAAACCTTTACTATACAAATTCATCCACCCATGCTGTTTGCTTTAGTCATTTATTCACATTTTTTTGCCTCTGTCTTTACTCATATTATTTTCTTTGTAACCTAACAAATGCTTGTTCATCTATCAAAATTTAATTTATCTGTCTTAAAGGATATCTTCTCCCACTGTTCACTACCACAACAGTCTCAGGCAGAATTAATTACTAATGGAATTTTCTAAATTCTCTTCTCTACTACAATACAGTCATTAATGTGGTCTGTCTCTTCTAAATCAAGTTCCTAGGAAGCAAGTACACATTTGGTTGTAATGAATACCTAGGACAGACAATTCTTTTTTTCTGTCCTCAGCAAGTGTCTGCAGAATGGATAAAAGACAGAAGAAATATTGAGAGCTCTAAAAGAGAATAAAGTCTAAAAATTATTTTAATAAATATAATCTATGTATAATACTAACATTATTACTATAATATGAAAGGTAGAGTTAAGCTGACCAAAAACAGCAAAAGAATTGGCCATTAAAAACATTGTTTTTGCTTAAAATCATAAATTATTAAATGACACCTAATAATAATTTTAAAATATAAAATTTATAAAATATTTTGCCTTGGGTTAGCACATTTTAAGAAAAGGTAAAATAAAAACATTTGTGATATAGTTGGGCTGAAAATAAATTTGTAAACTTATATCCAAATAATTCATCCAAACTTCCCAAAAGAATTTTTTTGTTATAATCTACCCTGCATGCTTCAAAAATTTATAATTAAGATTTTCTTCCAAAGTAATAAATGTGATTGTATTTTATGTAGATTAATAGCTATCAGTCTGGAACAGAAAGAAGGATTCAAGTATTCACAGGTCTTTATGTTTTAAAAATTTATATTTTTCTACATTAGCGATTTGAATACTCATACATACCTCAGTTCCAAAATCTACATATCTACTTCCGATTATAAGTAAAGAATCATCATGGTCCATTAGTTCACTCAGTTATTAGCTTATTCTTCAAAGATTCATTGATTACCTATTTTGTGCAAGGTACTAATAGTTGATGATTTATTAGGACCACACAAATTTTCAACACATCACAATTAGGTTAGCTCCTCTATCAATCCACTCTATTCTGTTAGATTCTATTCTAAATAATACCTCTGCCGGATTGATTAATTAATTATTAACTCCCACTAAGGCTCTCCTTTGATTCTCTATGTCGTAATGTTAGGTAGAAAGCTACACTTGAGCATCTGGGGAAGGAGAAGATAAAATTCAAGGAAAAACCACCCAAACCCTGCCCAGCTGGGGCGGGCCTCCCACTTGAAAACAACAAAGGCTTTGCGGGGAGATAATTTCCTTGCCTATCAGGACCAGGCCAATCCGGTCCCAACCAGATCACAACATCACAATACAGGTGCAATCAACAAAACTGACAATCGCCCAAACCAGACCACATCATAATCTCATTAAAATAATATATATATACATTGCTCTTTTGCTCCTATACCCCTACTCCCCACCCCCCACTCTGTGGGCTTTCTGTGGACATTCTGGGAAAGAACATATGCATCAACAGGGATGGCTATATAAGTGGACCTGTCAATCAAAGAGGCACCTCCTAGCCAGAATGTAACAAAAAGGCTTCCTGCCTTAAGGATAGAAGCCTTTGTCTACCTTGACTCTGGCCCACTCTTCCCTTAGTGTATATTCAAATAAACTTTCATTCTGCTTTGCCATTGTGTCTCTGCCTTCCAATTCTTTGTTTCAGTGGGGACAAGAACTGAGGAGAACAAACTCAACCCACAACAACTAGGACAAAAATTCTAAGCTCTTCTGCATGGTTCACAGGGTACTCAGTAATACAGCCCTTTCCAGCCATACAACTCCGTTGCCCCAGATTGCTCTGCCTGGCCCTTCCAGTACTTTCAAAACCAGCTTCATGTACTCCTCTACCACCACATCTCTATTTTGTGCTGCTGGAATTAACTCTGATACCCATATTTTCTCCCCTTACAGAGCTAAAACACATAATATAGCCTTCAAAGAATATCTCGCCTCATCTTTCACCACCCAAGACCATATCCATGTACAAAAAAACATATTTGAGAAGAAAATACTTAACAGACTTTAAATGAACTACCCAAATACTAATTTTTTCAAAACATCATGAATAGTTATGACATTTTTTAATGCTCATGTTCCTTGGCAATTACTGAATTGAGCAGATTAGACATTATTTGCACCACATTTATCTGAATCTACCTTTTCCAGAACTGGCAGCCAAGATATCACAAGATGTAAATTCTTCAAACAGAGCCAGTCTCCAGTGCAGGCACATTCTTTCAGCATTTGGATTGCTAAATCAGCTTGACCTTGACCCATGGCAACCTGCAAAAACAAAGAACAAAATTAAGAAAGATATCTGATAACATGTTAGAACATCAGATATTTAAGTTATCCTGCGACACATGCTAAACTAACTTGATCATTGTAATCAGGGTTATAAATTTTTAATAAGAAATACCAGACTTTGTTGTCATTTCCAACACTTGGTCTTGTTTTTGTCCTTACATCAATGGCAGATTTCTAGAATTTTTTCTAGGTATTAAAATTATATTATCCTTACAGGTTTGCAAGTTATAGAATAGGATAAATAATTATGTAATTCTTACCCTCTTGAACATGGACCTTAACAATAAACTGACTTTTTTTAAACTATAGTCTTACTGAATTCTTTGAAGGGTTTAACATTAATACTGGCACTTCCTTGAAATTGCTTTTCTTTTAATTTTTCCAAAATTCCAATAGTTAATATTCTAACTATTTAAGTGTGTAATTCCATAGCCCTTTACCATTTAGCAAATCCTAATGTGTTGGTCAGCCTTAAGCCCTCTGCTCCCCTATTGCTTCCCAGGGAGAGGAGGGAGGGAGGACAAAGAGAGAGAAAAAGAGAAAGAGGGAGGAGAGAAAATGAAGAGAGGGAGAATGAGAATCCTGATCTCATTGAAATTCCATCCCAATTTTTCTAAATCCTACAATCCATCTACACTTAGGATACTCATGTAGTGAAATAGGCCTCTTTATAAAATAAAAACTTCCAAGCATTAGAAGTATTCAAGCATATGTTGAAATAACCTATATAACAGATTCAATACATGAGATTTCTGTATTATTATGATGCTTGGACTAGGGGACTACATAAGTCTAAGACTCTACAGAAGTTGTTGTCAAGAAGCTTTAGAGTGGCTTTGTGTCTGTCACTTACCATGATGTCAAGTCTAAACTCCATGTTTTTTTTTAAGGATAATTTACTTGTATATTAGCACAGCTATATCTGTGTGTGTATTTATATGTATATAAAATTGATAAGTATACATATATTGAGACTCCTGGCTCAAATTTTTTATTGGGTTCGTGGTTGACCAGCTTCAAAGAGTACTGTTCCAGATTACTTCAAACCACAGTGATTTCTTCTTTCATAATAAATACAAGATAGCATTTCATTGTTTTTTAGTTGACTTTCACAAGTATTGATTTTGGTTTCCAATTAGACTATAAAGTCTTTGAGAGTAGGGACCATGTCTAATTCATTGCATACTAAAGCATGCAACAAAACAGGTAATAAATACTCATGTATTTTTTTCCAGATCAAACTTGTCACAATTTACTGGTTGAGTTGTACATATTAGTTTGCCATTATTAAAATGGAAAAAAAAAGGCATGCACAACAGAGTCAGAGAAAAAGAAAGGATAAGCATTTTCCTGAACTGAAATGCCAGCTAAAAATAGACAACTCAAAATTTTCCATAAGTCATAAAACATGTGAAAATAGGTTAAAGGTTCATGAAACCTTATAAGAAAATACTTAGTATAAGAAAAAAATTTGTCTTTATAAAGCACAAGAAAATGTCAAGATAGTTAGCCCTCCCGAAAAATACCAATTTCTTGAATTAAATATTAAATTTTTCACATTAAGACTATATTATCCTTAGCATATATATTCAACATAGAGATAAAAGTTTTAAAATAGAAGTATGAATATATCCATATTTAAAAGTTTTACTATATTAAACAATTTTGCAAGTTTATACTCAACCTCCAGAAGTTTAAATAGTCAAACCTGTTAATGCAAGTAGTTTTACCTTTCTGCCAAAGCTAGCATAGATACAGTCTACGGAAAAGTGCTTCCCCTTCCTAAAGACGCCTCACTGAAAACTGAGTACTGTCGCAATGAATATATTAACATACTGAAACTGGAACCGAATGAAACTCACTAGAGCTGGACAATGGAAAACCTGCACAACTGAACCTAACTCTCTGTTCTGCTATCTTCTGTTTATATTCATGATAACATTCTTACTTTTCAATTTTTGGTTGCTTGAAGTATTTGCTTTTTTAATCATTATTAATTATTTTCCCACTGAAAAAGTTTTATTTATTCATTTATCATCAATTATGCATGAATTAATACATTTTCAACCATGCATGCAAACTGAATTGAAGAAAGGAGGTAACCTAAACCAAAAAATTCCTAAAGTTCCTAAGTTTACCTCAGGAAAAAGCAATATTATTATATTAGATAAATTTCACTAAAAATTATATGTATTTCTATCATTTCAGTTTTGCATGTAAATGTTGTGGTAGGTTTCTATAAAAGCATCCAAATAAACTTTTAAAAGTTATTCTCAAAATACAAGCAAATATACTGGTTTTCTATTAAAGCTTTAACAAATTATCACAATTTAGTGCCCTAAAACTAGACAAACTAATTTTCTTACCAGACATCTGAAGGTTAGAAGTTCTATGTCTAAAATCAAGGTTTCAGGAGTTTGAAAATAAAGGTAGTACTACATGTCTGTGTTCTTCTCGGAAGCTCTAGAGGAGAATCCCTCCCTTCCCTTTTCCAGTTTCTAGAAAGACCCAACATTTTTCTGCTTGTGGCCCCTTCCTCCATCTTCAAAGTCAGGAGGATAGCTTCTTTTCACCTCTCTAACCTCTGCTTCTACCATCACATCTTCCTTCCCTCTGCCTAGCTGTCTCTCTCTTGTAGGAACTGTTGTGATTATACTGGGCCCACCTGGATAATCCAGGATAATCTCTCCATGTCAAGTTGCTTAACTTATTTACACATGCAAAGTCCTTTTTGCCACAAAAAGTAACAAATTCACAGGTTCTGGGGGTCAGGTTGGCAGCACTTTAGGGGACTTTATTTGGCTTACCACCACAACAAAAAATGTTTCACTAATAGAATCGAGTAGGGCAGGAAGAGCAGTAACTAGTAAAAACAGCAGGGTAATATGTACTGACCTGGTGATAACACGCTCCGCCTCTTTCAGCACTAGCAAGTTCCTGGAGTTCCTGAGAAGGATCAGCACCCGGGGAAATAATTATCAAGATGGGTTCAATTTCTAGTGTCTCTTTGTACAAACGTTTGAGGTTTAGAGGAAGTGGGGATAACTCTTTGAGTCCTAAAAGATATATTAAAGAAATAAAAAATAAAAAGCAATGTGAACCAGAAAAAAGGCCTATTAAAACTAATTACATGATACATAGTAGAACATAACTAAGTGAATTATAATCTCATACATATTAAAATTATTCACATCCTAATACTAATAACTAACATTTATTGATTGTTTAAGGTGTCATTTTTCTTAGTGCTTTACATCTGTGATGATCATCTAATAATTACACCACCACCAAGAGGTAGGTATCCTGATTACCGCAGTTAACAGATAAAGAAACACACAGTCAGTATTATGGTCTTAATATTTGACTGTCTCCCTACAAGAGAGGATTGAACCCAACCATCCATCTACCAGATTTCATCCATCTACATGATAATTAAATGCCTACTCTGTGCCATCCACATGGGGACTGATTTCAACACGATGGGATTAACAATTTTACTCTCAAAGGGCAAAAATTTTTTTTTTTAATGTCCATGCATTGAGAGACAAAAAACATGGTCAGAATGAAAAGAATGCTTACTTTGAAGACAAAAATATATAGCTCTCAGTTCATGTTTGTTAGTCCAATGACTCTATGCAAATTACTAATACGCACTGTGTCTGTTTCCTTAATTGCAAAATGGAAATAAGACAGTCCACAGGTCATTTGGGGGGGAAATAGGATACAATAATAAAAATAGATTCCATTTATTCACCACCTTCTTTATGCTAAGCATTATATCAGGTAGTTTATTTTATGTATAAGGAAACTAATGCTCAAATTGCATTCTTGCCAAAGCCCCCCAGGAGCTAACTGCTAATTGTATTAAAAACAATTTATCTGTGCTTTTTTCCTACTCTGAAGCTCTTCACAAACTGTAAAGTCCTATATGGACAAGAAATTGTAATTTTGCTAAAGATTTAACTCTCTTCTGCTAAAATATGAATATTTCCATTAATGTATTTAGGAAATGCCAAGCTGAAGAATACCAATTTCAATTAATAATCAAAAATATATGTTTGAGCTAAGCTAAAAGGAAGAGTATGACACAGAATTTAAAAACAGGATTAGTAGAATGCAACACAATGACTACAGTGGCCAGAAGGGCTTTTCTATATCCTCAAAAGTAGAAATAGATAATACTGTGCCTCAGAATTTGTGAAATAGCAGGAAAAAGAGATTCTTAAGGACTTCTGCAATGAAGACTTTTAAATATGAATTTAATGCCATTTAGATGGACCAAAAAAGACATTTCTAGATGACAACCTGAAAAGGAAAATTTCACTCCCCTTTATTCTTCACAAGAGCAACCCATAATGATAAGGCAGAAGTATTCTTAATACCAAAATTTATCCCAACAGTTACTTGAATTGGTGAATTGCCTGTAGAGCCATATTTATGAATTTCATTTTTAACTAAATTTGAATTGTGAATATCCTAATAGAAAAGAATTATGTACTCATGACAATGTAATAAGAATACTTTTACTTATTCAATGTCCATTTACTTATTCATAAACTCAATAAACATTCTAGGCCAATTAAATATATTATCTGATATAATCAAATGCATCAGAAGTCTTAAAAATGTGTGTGGCCTTTACCTCAAAAATTTTAATTATAATAATTTAAGAAATAATTCAATATATGAATGCAAAAGCATGTACAAGGATTTATATTGTAGCTAAAATTATTATTTCATAGCTATTATTATGTAGTTATTATTAGTTAAAAATTTGGGAAGCACATTTAGGAGTCTGAATGAATAACTTCTGATAGCCATATAATGGAACTGAAGTTACAAAAATGGTGAGGTAAGAGATAATTTGTTGAAAAGCAGATTACTCAACAGAATAGACAATATGATTCCATATTGTGATGTATATATATTTTTGTGCCTAAAAAGATAGAAAAGTATACATAAGAATGCTAACAATGAGTATCTAGGAATGACGGAATAACAGGTGTTTCTTATCTTCTTATTCCTCTATATCATCTCATAGGTCTCTAATCAAATATACCATGTGAAAAAAAAACCAAAATAAATATTAAGGTATTTTCACATAAAATGACTATTGACTGAAACATATTTCATTTGGAAAATATATGCCAATATAGAAGCTTTCTTCACAAAATTAAAATGCAGGTTACCATACCATTTTTTTATTTAACAAATATAGACTATAAACTCCATGAGGACAGGAATTCTGTTTTGTTCATCATTTTTTATCCAATACTTAGCATAAATTCAATCTTACTCCTAAAGTTAAAATTCCACAGAAGATAAATTCTTCTGTGCAAAAAGTTCATTATTCAATATTTCAAAGTATTGGGATATTCTTGATTAGAGAAAATACCATGAAAAAAATCATACAATTTAAGATAAGATAGGTAATATTCATGGGTTACTTGGAATTCCATGTTAGCCATTCTGCCGACAAAACTCCAATAAAATCTGCATTACATTTTAAGTGAACTGAGTCTGTACATATAATTATTGTTTTTTTTTAACTCAAATAATTTTCACTTATGATACCATTAGAATTGTCAGTGTGAATCATTAAAACTATTCAGTAAAATTCAAGAGCCAAAACGATTCATTTCATTGTGAATCAGAGTGAAGAACTATTTGTAAATCACAGGGACCTTCTTTTTGGACCATGTATTTTTAAAATACATAATTTCATTCAAAAGAAAAAAAAAGTAAAAATGGATCAAAGAAATAATGTAAATTTTATTATATTTTATTTTACTCTAATAAAATACAGAAACAATAAAAAAGTAATTTGCAGTTTAAAAAAGAAAGATATCATTCCTGCACTTCTCAGGCACCTAAGTAGGTAAGGAAGATAGAAAGTAATTATCAAACTAATATAGATGGATATAATAGATTCCTTCTTCATCATTCTTCTCATCCTCCCCAACAGACTGATAAGCATCAGGTATATAAAATTATTCTTTCTTTATTAGAGACAAAAAAACTATAAAGATATACCACAAACATCAATAAAAAGAAAGAAAATTGACAACCACTATCGAACCTAATATATATCAACCATTTAAATGGGAAAATACTCTTTAGAAAAGGAATAATAATAAAGTTTTATTCAAACACTCAAATTCTAATACTGGAATAAACGAAAATGTCAAACATTTTATAGTAGGCATAATTCTAAATATATCCCTTTCAAGATTCCTATCCCTCGATTGTTCAATCAAACACTAACCTAGGTAGTCTGTGAAAAGACTTCAAATATGTAACTAAGGTTATGGACCTCTGGGCATAACTGCAATATTTCCAGAATCTCTCACCAGCCTTTAGTGTATCTCCCTATTAACAGATGTTAACAAGGGGTGGCAAGAAGTAACCATTTCCATATCAACGGGTAATTACGTGGGCAAGCAAGGGCTTACCTGGACCAGAGAGGTTGGGGGAGATTTTGCTTGCTTCTGCCACAGCAGGAGAGATAGATTGCTTACTGCTTGTAAGCAGTAAACAGGTTTTAAATTTTATTTCTCCCTTTGACTGATTTCAGTTTCAGCTAGGTATTTTGCCCCGGGATTTCCCCTCTCTGGAGTTACAGGACCACAAAATAAGATTATCCTTCATTATCCATGTAGGCCAATTTAATCACTTGAGTCCTTTAAAGCTGAACAATTTCTCCAACTAAAGTCAGAGATGCAACAGAAGAGAAAAGCAGGTAAGATAAGGCAGAGGAAGAGATCAGAGAGGTATAGCATGAGAAGGATTCAATCTCCCATTGCTGACTTTAAAGGTAAAGTAAGAGGGACACAAACCAAAGAACCCAAGTAGCCTCTAAATTTGAGGACTCCAAATAGAAAGGAAATGGGGACGTCAGTCCTACAACTGCCTGGGTAATTCTGTGAGGAACCTGAGGGAATTTGGAAATGGTCTATTTCCAGATCCTCCCTATAACAGCCCAGATAGCCAACACCTAAATTTAGCCTTGTGCAACCAGAAGCAGAGTAACAGATTTCTGACATACAGAACAGTGAGATAATACATGCATGTTCTTTTCTAACCTACTATTTTGTGGCAATTTGTTACAGAAGCAATAAAAAATGAATAAGCATTTATGTACTTCTTTTCCTCTTAGAGACTTCACAAGACAAATTTAATTTATAACAGCAAGGTGCATGGGACAGGATGCTACCATAGATAAAAGAAGTAGAGGACTGTAAATCTGGAAAAGTTGCAAGGTTCAAAAAAACATTTTGATGAAGAACTTTTGAGAAGTTACCAATTCCTGCAGCTATTGCAGCATCTCCAGGAACACATCTCTTAGTATAATACACATAGCATAATATCTTCCCCAAAATAGTTAATTTAAAAAGTCAAATTAAATAAGAATTACAAAATTCAGAATATTAGCATCTGGTAACTGCTATTTTTAAAAAACAGTAGATTTTTCTAGTACATAAGGTTTGTTTTGTAGGAGTATATTAAAGTGGTATGCCTGAAAGTTTTGAAGACTGATGCTCTCCTAAAATCTTCAAATCGAGGCTACTTTCATGAACACATCTTTTTTTAAGGTACTATTTTAAAGTTTATAGATTATAAAAAGGATTGCTAAAACTTAATAAAAATCTTTCCACATGAGTGATACTCTAGAAATTAATTTGAAATTAAATCTCTAAAATGTGATTAAAATGAGGTAAGTGCTTGTTATTCTCTGGCAATTTGAATTTTTAAAAATACTCACACATTAAAAACCCCAGTATCATGTAAAAACTTATTAATAAAACCACTTGACCAAATACAAAATAATCTAGCCATATACCAATATATATAACTTTTGTTTAGAAATAGAGTACGGTTTTAGAAGCATATTAAACCTTCAAAGCATCTGAATTATGTGAATATCTTGAGGTTTTTATTTAATGCCAGTAAACCTTAAATGCCATTTATCCTGGAGATGAATTAGGACTATACCAGAAATATTCCAGAGTTGGTAGAAGGTCTACTACAAAGTCAGTAAGAAAGGTCAGGTACAATG